CTGGGGGCTCTTCGTTCAAATGTGAGAGTGGCTGGGCCAGGCTCAGGTTCCTGTCTGTTGACAAGGAGTCCTGATGCCAGGTTCTCAAGCTCAAGTCTCTTTTTTAAACCCATCCACCAAAAAGTAACAGGGATACACGAAGAATGCTTTTACTCATCTGCCAATATTTCGATTAGCACATTTTGTTTGTGAAATTTTCAGATAGACGCACACTCAGGTACTAGAGATTGACATTTTCAGAACAATATTTTCTGTCAGGTTAAGTATTCCTCTAGTATTTACCTTGAAAGGAGAGGTGACTGTATCTATTTAATTACCCTTTTGGTTTCAAAGCTGCCAAAAGCATGCCTTCCAATGTGTATATTCCCTTAGTTTTCACTATATTCAGTAACCTTACCTGTTAGTTTGTCTCCAGCTTCCTACTACATGTTACATATTCTGCACACCAATAATGAAAATAAGCAAAAAATCCTACCTTTTCTGGCCAGCACCATGCCAGCAAAGCCTGATATTGTAATTACACCAACTTTGGGAAGAAATTCTGGGGGCGGATTCTTCAGGTAAACATAAGCATCTTGGAATTAAAAAAAAAAAAAGAAAAAAAAAGCAGCAAAGTAATTCAATAGCAATCCTTTTATTTTATTTCCCACTTAAGAAATAAAGATGGAAATAAAATTATGACTACCCAAAACTGAAAACAGTGCAGTGCACTCCCCCTCCACCCTTCTCCCCGGCCCGTAACTGGAATTTGCTGTTTCAACCATCTAAGTCTCAAAGAGAAACAACAGAAATTGCTCAATTCAGAAATATGACTTGCTTACCTTTTCCAAGTTGAATTGAATCAGTTATTCCATTTTTAACAAAGACAAAAGCATCCTACCAAAAAAAGAAAATAAATGTAAAATCTTTGCAAAAGTAGATGTTTTCAGTACAAAACCACTCACTTGGTTGATACATATGGCTCAGCACAATGGGACAAAGAAATATTATGTAACTCTAAAACAAATAAACCAGAGCAGTGAATTTCTACAGAGGCTGTGCTGAGATCTCTCCCCTTTTTGACTACCGTATTTATATTTTTAAAACTTCCATCCATATTTAATTTAATTTAAAAAAAAACATCTGTAATGTAGTAGAAGCACTTTCAAAATTGACATCTCAGGAACAAAACCATAGGGTAGAAAAGAACCTGGATGCCAACTGTATAACATAAGAAAATTCAATTATAAAATATAATCTCCTCCTCCCTAGAGAGACTTACCCAGTAAAGCTGACTTTGCTTTCAGTTTGTAAAAATGGTGCTCAGTTTCGCTAAAGATAAGCAAAACAGATTTCGACTAAGATGTGTGGTCAACTGGTTTCTACTACTCCCCTCAAGCTGGTCAATTTAATTACAAGTTTTTCTTTACCCAGAAAAAACCCTCCTACCAGCCTATTATTAGTATCATTGTCCTCAGATTGCTCAACAAATTGAGTAAATACACACTCTTTAGGAGATTAATGAATGAGAATGTCATCTTGAATCATTTCACTGACATAATTTGTCTGCAGTAACACAGAATTTGTACCACCAGAGGCCACTGCTACTCAATCTTGGAAACACTTGATGATTGAGGGCATGGAAAAGTCTGATACAGGTTTATAGCTAAATCATTTCAGTTATGCAGTCACTGACAAAATTTTCACACACCAATGGAGTAAAAAATTTACAGAAAATGCAGAAAGACATTTTGATTTCTTTGACTTTCTCAAATAATAGGGTCTACTTTGTAAGAGAAAAACACAAGCATAAAATTTCATATTAACAACAGCGAGGCAAAGTTGTCATTCACCAGCAGTTAAGAGAATGGTGACAGGTATCACATTTTCTTCTATGCCTAGAATATTCAATCACAGAGTTGTGAGGTATTTTTGATGACTAGTTAGTAACAGCCTGCTTTAACAGCTGGATGCACTCAGTTTGTCTTTCCTAAAGTACCTAAATCAGGTCCTTAAACTTGCCCTTTGAGAGCAGCTCTCTCTCTGTGGGCTGTATCTGGAATTCAAAGTCCTAAATGCTATCAAGTTCTGCTTTCAAGAATTTACCTATGTAACTTTTGCTGCAGCAGCTAACCAAGAAGTTATTTCCGAATCTGACATTGTGGGTTGGCCGAGATCCAGTTTAGCACTGGCTGAAGGTCACCTGTTTTATCTCACTGCCTTTTGAACAGGAACACAGGGAGAATGCCCACATTCCCTGTTACAAGCACAGGAGAGAGGAAAGGAGAGAAGGGTTCATTTTTGCATCTTAAATTACAGGTGTATGCTAATACAAAGAACTGCAAAAAATCCTTCCAGGGTGAAGTACACTGTTTTTCCAATGTTTTACTCTAGCGCCGTCAGAAATTGTAGGAAACACTGGATGCAGGTATTTCTTACCTTGCACCATCCGATATAGCGGCCGGTTGTCTGTCTTACAGAAGAAAATTGCTTCTGCAAGTGACCAGGCTGTTCTTCAACATATTTTGATTTCAGAGGTGGTGGACAGTAAATTGGAAGCTGGAAAGGAAAGCATAACTGTACTGCAGAGAGGGAGTTTTGTGTACTGTGTAGTATTCACACTGAATACTGCAAATCCCTAGTGTTCCCATTACAGCAAAGAAAACCTCTATGGAATTATGCTCTTTTATATTTACAAACTTACTTTGCACGAGTGTGACTACAGGCTGTCTTTAGAAATGAAAACTGAAAGTATTGCGTAGGTTCTAAGAAGTAGAATTAGGGAGTGTGATAAGAATATATTTTATTCAGAAAAAGCATGAGCAAGAGTAGTTGGAAGATGCATGCATTTATTACTAGAAACTGTACAATAGAAAAAGACTATTACTATGAGAAAGTGTTCTACCCTTTTACATTTTCTGTTTCAGTCTGGAAATAATGTAATAATGAGAATGAGATAAAACTTTACTAAGTTACTATTGTAACACTTCATGTTTTATTAGTGCTATAGTGGTCAGTTATTTAGGAGGTAATTTTTATTATCACTTATTACTATGCTATGTATTTTAATTACTAGGTAATATAATTAAATAGAAAGACACGGTATTCTCCACATTCTTCTAGTATTATTTTAAAGACTGACAAACAGTAAGATTCTTACCTGATTTGGCTTCAGCAGCTGGCCTTTTGATTCCTTTTCTGTTTCTGCATACACAGTAATACAAGCAAATGGCAGAGCAGAAGAAACAGCTGCCAGCTTTGCCACCTGGGACAGACAGGTGAAAAAAAGGAGTCAACACAGAAATAAAAAAACCAGCTCAAGTCTGGACTTTGCTATTGTGTTGTGCTTGATCACCTATGGGATTAAACAAGTCACTTTTAAAACCTCTCTAAAATAGTATACCTTCTAGAAACCACTTCTGTCTCATACAAAGATGTTCTCAAATTACCATGAAAAAGCTAGAGATTGCTGACAACAGGTATGTCTAAAATACCAGGAAGAATTTTGTGTTCAAAGCCATGTTAGTGCTTCCATCATCCCATAAAGTAAATAAAGTTCTAATCTATTCAACATACAGGTACACCAAGTCAATGAATGACTCATTTCCGTAAAACGCACCTCACTTTTACTTTCAGGAATTCCCCATGACATCAGACAAAATGTCGTCTCCTTTCCAATTCAGAGACCAGTTCAACTACTGTCTGTGTGGAATAACTGTGTGTCGACAACAAATGAAAATACATAGCAATTACTGGAATTAAGAATCACCTGCTTAACCTTCCAAATCAGGTATGCTACAACATAAACTACTGAAATATAGGTTTGGTCATGAGACTGTCACGTCTACTTAGAACATTAAATTGGAAAAAGAATCATATATTACACAAAGCTTAAATACAGCTTCACATTAATATTTTTTTAAATTATTGCCTTAAGATTCCAATCAGAGATGGCATTAAGCATGTTAGCATACATTAGTAGATTATGGTTTCTTCTGTATCAGTGAAGACTTTTCTGTTATTCATCTGAAGCACTTTTTAAACTTCAAAACTTTACTTTTTCATAAACCTTCTCTTTAATGAGTTCAGGAAATAATTTAATTTACTTTTTTGGTTTGATTGAAAGAGTTTATTTCAACACCTGCTCTGCATTGTACTACCAATTCTGCGTTTATCTGAACTAAGGACCTGACCCAAGCCCTAGGAAACTAGCAAAGAAAATCACCCACTCCCTAATGGCAACTGCTCCGAATACCAGCGGTTACAAAAGCTGTGAGCCCAGCTGACATCTTCTGGAGATGAATTCTATACGAACACAGACCTAAACATCACCAGAACTACAGATACTAGAAATTACCAGCCTTAATTCTCTGGATGGGGGGAAGGGCAACAGCAAGAGTTAAAATATTTCCTGTAATACCACTGCCTGCTACTGACCCTGCCATCACACTGACACACCCACCACCAGCAGGTTGGCTTTTTCCCAGGCATAAAAAGCACACCAGTTACTTCAAAGCACTAAACACTGCAGACTAACAGACGTGGCGTTATTTGTGATGAGAAGACTGAATATCAATTATTTGCTGAGGAAATTTATTATATTCTCTCTATCAAGAAATCATTACAGCTATGCCTTTGAATAGTAGAACTAGAGAAAAACTAATCAAAGTAAAATAATACAACTGTCAAATGTAACTGGATAATTCTGGCTTTAAGTCTTCGCATTTCAAACAATCTAATTCAAAGCGTTAGCTCAAGTTCTGCAAGGGAGAGAGCAATACTGAGCCCTCCTCCTTTATTCCTCCTTCATCTGAAGCCTGGGTTAGGGCTCAAGGGATGTCAGGGACGAAGCCCCATCCCCAGAGGGGTTCAAGGCCAGGCTGGATGAGGCTTTGGGCAACCTGGGCTGGTGGGAGGTGTCCCTGCCCATGGCAGGGGGTGGAACTGAATGGTCATTAAGATCCCTTCCCACCCAAACCATTCTGTGATTTTATGTCCCCACTCCAAGAAACTACGACCTTCTCCTCCGCCCGCTCCGGAGCAGAGGAGCTGCGCAGCCAGCGCGAGCTCAGCCCGGGCAGGGCTGTGGGAACATCGCCCCAAGGAGCCCCCCGCCCGCAGACCCCGCGCACTCCCACCGCTCCTCCC